TGAGACCGACTGCGCTCTTGCTACGTCAGACAGCAGAGAAAGAGCCGTTGCACCTTGTACCGTGTTAGCGTTTAAATATTTTAGGCCCATTCATAAGAAAATCTCTGAGCTGGATGTCGTTGTATAATCTACGGAAACTCAAGCCTCAAACTCTGGCATCATTCGGCCCAGGTGGTTTCTGTGTCAGACATCACGATGGGACATGGACGTGTGGCTGGTTTAGGTGGGTCGGGTTACTTTTATCAGCTGGGTTCTTTCCTCAGCAGTGCTACATGTGCCCAGTGACATGCAGCATTAAGAATGTGAAATGAGCTTGAGCTGGAAATGTCACAGCAGCAGTTCTGCTTTGCTTTTTAATGGGGTTGTTAAAACAATTGGTTACCGGAGGCGTGGTGGTGGGGGTTATCTTTCTAATTAAAACCGGTGAAGGCTGTGTTCCATTATAACATCACTGTACTTTTCTATTATTTTTCTGAAAGAAGTACACACCCAATCTCACTGGTTTAGTCAGATTGGTTGGTGTTCCAGCAGCAGGTGATTCAAGTTAAGTGGACTTAACTTGAGCTGAAACGCGTGTCCCTTTTGCGTCCCAGCTGGCCATTGTTTGGGATATTTCCGCCTGGTTAACTTCTGAGCTCTCAGTCAGAGGTGGTTGCCTTTTTCCTGACTTAGTGACAGAGCTCCTGAGGATGGATGGGTCAAGGGGGTGGAGCTTTGGTGAGACCATCTGTTGCTGAGACAATTCATCTCTACTTTTATACCCTTCAGGCACACACGCTCGCTTACAAAGACACAAACAAGTGGACAAACACTATTGGTTGTCCTAGAGAAAAACACCAATTCTTCCACCAATTGAAATGTTACTAGCTGATGGTTACCCAGACACATTCCTGAGTTGATTTAAGACATATCTGAATATCCAAATGTTTTCAGGATGTTGTTTTATATTGTGTTCATTGCTCACAGCCAATATTCCTTATTACAGAGGGCATGAAAGTCTGAAGACGTTTGCAAAAAAACTTGATGAATGCCACATTCTGCTTGTGACAAGATTACACATTTAATAATCGTATAAATGTAAAAAGGTAAATTGGTAAAGCAAGTCAAATTTGGGATCATTTTCTTGCTTACAATCAGGGGGCAACAGCTTTCAGAGGGTAAGGGATATTAGAGAACATTGGGGTGCCAGAGTTGTTCATAATTTACTGCCTTTTAAGTTGATTAGAATATTTTTTACATTTTGGCTACAAAAGATTGTTAGAATCGAATAGATGTTCTTCAAAAATAAGCTAGTTCAGCGTTTCGTCTGTTAGAGGACTATGATGTGGCTGTTTCTGCACAATTAAGATAATAGTGGCTGGTGGGCAGTTCTCCAGAGACCAGCTCACTGCCCAGACGCTGATGGAGGAAGCCAAGCCAGAGTTGGCATCTTTATGGCCCAGCTGGCTGGCTTTTGGTTTTTACCATATAGTGTTGACTCATTTAATTAACCGGGAATTTTTAGTTCTCTGAATTCTTGCACCATTTGCAATGAGCGTGCTGTGTGGTGAGTTGTATCTGTCAGTATCCATTCAATTGTTATGGAGCTTGTCTTTGTTTATAGGAATGGAAAACCTCTGAGACTCTGACTCAGCACTGAACCTTTCAAGTCCTGAAAATTGTGCTTTAATATTTGAGTCACAGAAGTTGAAGCAATACCGCGATGTGGTGTAGAAACACATCCCACTGCTTTTCGTGCCATGGCTTGCCCACTGTTTTACCGCTGTGTAAAATCTCTTATTATCTTTTTTTTGTTACTACGTATGTTTCTTTATAATGTCAGCCCCAATACACAGAGCCTCTAGAACAACGAAGAATACCGGCAACATTCTGCTGAGTTCAAGTCCCTGTGATTTCCAGTTACATAACAGCAGCTGATCTTCTTAAATCTATAGAGTAAACACTATTAATCTCCTCACTGGACCTCTGCAATTCACGTGAAGCAGCTTTTCCCTGAATAGGCCATTAATGCCAGGCTGGTACCAGGCAGACACTGTCGGCCGTTGGTGTGGAAATCACCAAGCGTCTCATATTAAAACTGATATAATCCGTGTGCTGGAGAATGCCTCTGTTATATTTGTGTCCTGATGTTTCTGTTTGTCTGCGTCTTTTTCCAGACAATGGAAGGCGGGACATTATCAGGTGCCTGCACCCTTCCTCTTTCCCCTCTGCCTCGCCCCTCCCCTCAGCCTCATCCTAATTTACACGACCCCCTTCATCCCACTCACCGCTCTCCCCAGTGGTTTGAGAGATCTACATTTAGCTGCGCTCCATTAGCCGACTGGAGGAGAAAAAATGTCCTTGATGATGGAAGTAGCTTTACAGACTGGCTGGTTGGACTGAGTGACCCTTTGTCCAAAAAGGAGGCCTGAATCACAGAATAAGAAGAGAATAGAGACCAATCATCACTCTGAGCGGTGTATCAAGTGAATTTATTGACTGGTAATTCTTTATTGAACCAACTTCCTTTTTGTTTCTGGGTTTCAGTACCATTAAAGCAGATGATGTTTCATGTAAATATAGAAGCTATTAAACAAAAGCATCTTGATCTTTGTTCTGACCCTGGTGGCAACACGTTGTGCCCCACGGATGAGAGTGTGTGCGCACACGTGGCAGCCTGTTGTAAATAGTTAATGAGGATTGATGTCTGAAAGTGGTGACCTTGTATACGGTTTCCTAGTGGAATCCATGCATATTGATCTGTTCAGTTTTATGCTCTGTTGGACACACAATTCCCTTTGGTGTGTGTTTCCTCCGGCCACTTCAATGGTGGTGAAGATTGATGGTGTTTACTTTATCAAAGACAAGCTTTTTACAAGAGAGGATGACCTATAGGGCACATTCCTTCAAAGTGCATATCCTATTTTAAATGTTTTTGTTTTTTTGTTGGTACAGCTGAAGATACCAATGGTGAGATTGAACATGCTACAAAGGATTGTGGGTTAATTAGCACCCAGGCTTCTTAAAGGAAAACCTTGACATTTTGGGCAATACACTTTCTGGCTTTCTTAAAAGCCGAAAGTGAAGTGGTAAGATCACTCTTATAACCCATCATAACATTACAAGATGTCATGTTTCAACCCTAACACACCACACATAATATTTGAATTGGTGAGCTTTAAAGATAAACACAAATGTTGCTACCTTTTTAAAGTAGAACAGCCTTAATGCTAAGCTAAGGATCTGCTGGCTTCAGCTTTACATTTAATGTTCTCTTTCCTAAAATGAAGAAGTTTAATTTGAAGGTCAGAGTTTCCTTATCAGATGATTTCCAATATTCTCTATTGTTTAACAAAGGTTTTATTTGCTGTTTCTTAACTCATCGTTAAAGATTTACAATGTTTACTCCTTCAAACACAGCCGGTTCTCTGAATGTATCTTGAGCCACTGTAAGGAAATGACAGTCAGTGAGCAATCAGCCTCAGATTCCTGTTATTGCTCCTGGTTACTGAGCTGCTAACAAACATGTCTGGGAAGGCCGGTGACTTCACGTGGATACACAAACACAGGACACCAGGCTGCTCAGATCAGCTGTAGTCCTGCTGATAATCGCTGTCTGGAACCAGGATCTGATCTGGGACAACTGGCAAGAAGCGTGCTGTGGTTTCCTTGAATTAAATATAGAAAAAAAGAAAGGATGGTAGACATAAACATTTGTCATGAGTGTTTTGCTAAAGTGCCACAAGTTAACTTGGGTCACTATTCTTTTATTTGATGGGATGAAACATCAATCTGCTAAGCCTCTTAGACAGTTTTACTGAGTGTGTATGACTGAGTGCTAGTTTTAGTCTCTGACACACCCTCTGCATGCAGGCCTGGCTAACAGCTTTTCTCTACTAAAAGGCACTGACAGTTAAATAAGAGGATAACTTTGCCAGTTTACTGTGGTGAGGCAGCAGCTATGTGGCACAGAGGGATGTGCAATGTTGAGAAAAATGTGGAAAAGTAGAAGAGGAGGAAGAAAACTAGATGATGCAATCCCTGCTTTTCTAGAATAGCTCTGCTGTCTCTTCTATCCAAGCAGCTATAACTCCAAAACAAATGTCCTTTCGGGGACAATAAAGTATATCGTATCGTATAACTCACCTGACATGTTGATATTACACCTAGGAATGTTTCTTTAACATATTTTTGGTTGGAAACTTGCGTTTTCTTGTCATTGAAATGTGATTGTAATGCATAAGACCACTTGCATATCCAATAAAGGTCAGCCTGATGTAGCATCTCTGTGGCATAGACCTCCATTTTTAGCTGTGAGCCACATCAGACACTGTAGTTCAGTTTGAACGCATTTTGGCTTAATCCTATACAGTGTCCTGCAGATTTAAATACTTATTAGAGCACCAAATAGGAATACATCTGGTGCTTCAATAATTGATGGCAAATGTACTATTTTTACCTAAAACATAAAGAGATGTTTTGACTTTTATTAAATGTTATACTCATATATAAAAATAATGAACTTAACATTATGACACTTGAGATGAGGCAATTTGATATAGTAAGGGATAGGAAAATATATCCAAGACATGGTAAAGGTCTGTAAGTCGCGAAAGATGGGCTATGTTTGTTATGTTTTTTGTCTCTCAAACTACCTTTGATTAATATTAAGTATGTATTCCATGCTCTAAATAACAATAATAATTCATTTTATTTAAGTCGCCTTTCATGACACCCAAGGACACCGTACAATTAGTTAACTATTCTAAGAGGTAAAAGCAACAGAACATGATAAAAGCACAAACAGGCGATCATGGAGGAGACAAAGTTGACACAAATGAGAGGGACAGGTTATTCGGGGGAAACAGAGGAAAAATAATGACACCGATTGGGGGTTTTTCAGAGCTTCCAGGAATACATTATTATGCAGGAGACCATCTTGTACAAAATGTCAACTGCACCTATAAATATGAGCCCTGTATCCAGATGCTAATGATGTTTTTCTGTCTATTGTGTTGCAGGGGGCCCGTGTGTGGCTGAGGCACAAAGAGCAGCTCCTCCCCTCCACCGTCAGCTCTTGTGATGATGCTTCTTTGGTCCTCACCACCGACTATGGGAAGGTAAGATGATGATATTTTTCCTGCTGAAGTCTTAATGCTGCAAACGAGTCACAATAAAACATCCCAAACTCTCATGGACCCAGTGTGCCTAAAGTATGAAGCTATTTAATTATAAAGGACTGTTACCACATGATTTTATTAACCCCTTACAGCCAAGAAAAAAGGCAACACTTACACATGCAGGACATATCAATGCACGTACAGGCTTTAACTGGTGTAGTGTACATGTACAGTAAAGCCCCCAATCGTCTTTCATTTATAATTTACAGGGTTGTACAATAACTGGGAGAGGGGGTGGCCCAATGTGAGAAGGTTAATTGTTTTCACACATGTTTCATCCCGCGGTTCAGCAGTCGGATCAACACCTTTTGTAATAAAGTAACAGGAATGGGCTCCTTGTGTCATTGGGCCGAGCTTATCTGTTTGGCAGTGCATGGTGGTCTTTGTGTCTGGAGGAAATCCTGTCAGAGAGAAAGAGAGACACAGAGTTTGAGAGAAGCATTGCAAAAGGGGGAGGGAGAGGCAGAGGAAAGGTGGCGATGGACAGTTAAAAAAAGGTTTCCCAGTAAAAATGTGGAGCGTAGGTCAAAAATGAGCTTCCGGTACAACTGTTATCTAGTGGAAAGGCCTTATCCACACTATATCATCCATGATCGTGTTTTAGCTCCGGACTGACTGTCCAATCCCAGCCGCAGGTCTTTGTTCAGGTCAGGGCTTCGGGAAGAAATAGGGTAGGGCCCAAAGGACTGACTTGGTCTTCAAGATTTCTTCATATAACACATTAACTACAAGTCATCGCCCTGCATTATACCTCAATTGTGTCCGTGACTGTTCACATTTAGAAGGGTGGCAGAAGAATGAGAATTTGTAAAGCTGTTAAGAAGCAGAATTTGTTTTCTTTGTGGAAGTTGATTGCATCAGCTGACATATAGCGCTAAATATTCTGTTGTCTATACATTTTAGTACGCATTGGTATTAGAGTTGTAACAATAACTCGACTAACCAGCAAGTCCATTGACAGAAAGATTATTCCCAACTGTTTTTATAATTGGTTGATTTTAAACGTGATTTTAATTCAAAAATGTAAAAAAGATGCAACGACATCACCTGGGACTTTGAGAAACTGCAAAGAACATGCCTCATTATTTACTGACATTATCAAACAATGAATCGTTCGATCTAGAAAATAATCAGAAGATGAATCGATAATGAAAGCCAATGTTAGTTTCAGCCTTTATGGTGTATATATATATGTGATGATGTCTATGACTTCAGCTGAGGCCTTAGCTGAGGTTGGTGTGCTAAAGGTACAGAGTTATAAACGATGTGAGAGAGGGAACATATGAACTCATCCTGAGTGTATGTGTTTATGTCTCTGTGGTCAGCGGTGGGCATTCTTTGAGTGTGAGACGTCGGATATGGGCAGTCAAGGGACAGGGATGACTCTGAAATACCATCTATCACAGAGAGAAAGGATTCACAGGGGAAAAAGTCCACTTTTTCTTTGTGGTCTCAATAAGACCGGAGAAAACCAGTGGGTGTTGTTCTCACCACCCTCAGTAGGATTTAGAAAAGTAACATTTGGTTAACATGACATCACTGGGTGTAGGATTGGGGCGTTACAGCTGAGCTGAAGCTGGACTGTCTCATATGGTCCTCACATGTGATCTCAAGATATGTTGGTCATCAGGCCAAACATATGGCTCAGAATGAGAGGAATGTGAGACTGAAAACAGACTGTCTCTGACTCCAGGATCGCTGGCTGACCTTATGTCCTCCCCTGTTCCTGGGTGACACATCTGCTGAGGTTTATTTGCATTTCTTTCTGTGGTAATCTTTATTTAACCCAGCTCCTCTAAATGGTATCTGAGTCAGCGTTGGTTGTCTGTCCTTGTCTGCGTCCTTGAGTGTCTTTACACCCGTGTGCAGTGTCAAAGGTGGTTTGGTAAATGCACCCCAGCTGCATTTTCTCCTTGGGTGGGGGTGGGGGGGGGATTTACCATTACCCATTGCTTCGGTGCTCAGACTAAGGTGCAGCTCCCTGCCTGAGCACTCATCTTGTAGACTCAAGAGTGTGTCTCTACCCACAATGCCTCGGCCCTATCAGGCTGACCTGGCTGCTGTCACGTTAGGCATCATATCAGCATTCATCACTGTCTCCTCCTAGGTGTGCTCTGGCCTGAGTGGACCAGTAAGATACAGCAGACACACTGAAGATGAGATAACTGTCTTGTTGTTTTGTGTGTGTTTGCATCAATCAGTGTCTGTGCGCGTGTGTGTTTTGTTGCCAGATGGCACCAGCTGGATTAACAGTGTGTGAGTCATCCCCAGAGGGGACGCACATGTAGAGAAAAGCAGGAAGAGGGCTTTGTCACCTGTACTGAATAGCTCCTGCTGGTGATGTCATCTGTGCCTCACTGAACAATACCATGAGACTGAAATGTGTCATAAATTGGTGTCAGTCTACGAGGCCGAAATGAAATATTTATGCATCAATTACTTCACACATACATTACTGCTATAGCTGATATTTTAAAACAGTCGTAAATCCAACACTGTGGAATAATGGACGCCCATGTTGGTTGCTGGTCCTAAATCGTGATTCTGCTCGGTTTGATTAAGTATACCACATTAGTTTATTGCTCAAGATAAAAGTGCCCCTCTCCTGAATTGGTTTTGGATGAGACAGTCTAGTCATCTTCTGCACAATATGATACAACACAATAAACAAAGTGGTTTACTCTTTGGGGAGATGCTTTGCTTTTAACATTTGGTCTGAAGTCGTCTCCGGCCTGTAGACAAACCGTCTCTAAGGTTTGAAATGGCTCATTGATGGCCCCTCAGTTTTTTCTGGATTATTGGTCAATGGAGCCATTATATGAGTGTGATGTGTGTTCACGAGTGCGGCCACAGAAATAACATGCTCACACAAACATTATTGTGGGTATCTCTGAATAAACTCAACAAATGTTTTTAAGATTTGAGTTTGCTGTATTCCATTGTCAGATTTTTGAGCAGGATGTAATGAAAAACTCTGTGTTATTTGTTTCCACAATTTTCCTCATAATAATCCTGACTCCATCCTCCCCCCATGTCTCCGGGGTCTGGGAGGGACCCCCCTTCAGCCGATGGATTCACTGTAAGACACAGAGAGAGTAACAGAAAGGAGGCAGAAACAGGCAGAGATAAACAAGACAGTGTTTGTGTTCACAAGCTTGTGATTCTGAATCTGCCCATGTGTCATTTCTAAAGGCTTGAATATATCTGCCATTTAAAGGCCTCAGGGCCACAGAGGCCGACGCCGCCTTCATCTGAATATTCAGCAGGCCTGGTGGAACAAAGCAGCAGCAGCAGGGTGTGGTTTCAGCTGGGAGGAAACAAAAGGGAGCAGCCTTACAGCTGTAACAAAGTTTTTAATTCGGATTGTTGCTATTCTGTCATCATCAGAAAAACTGTTCATGAGATTTACTCTGTATCATTATGGTGATACTTTGCACTTGGTCTATATTTGATGCATTTTTGTTCTTGAATAAGGTACATTTTCTGGCTTAAGAATCCAAAAAGTCAACAGCTCAATATTTGTTCACTAATAACAGAAAGGCTGCAGCTATAATAAATTAATAATATATATATATTTTTTTTTTTAGCCATTATAAGTTGCTTTTTTATTGATAAACCGTCCAAAATATATTAATTTTACTATCACATAAGACAAATAACCCGGGACTGGAGAATGAGTTATGTTTGCCGTAAAAAAAACTACTCAAAATATGAATACCACATTTTCTTTTTTTCTAACCATCTATTGTTTAGACTGTTGAATTTTTGAGTTAAAACAGCTTGATATGTTTAATTTTGTATTTAACCTTTGAAATGTCTACGTAACATCTATTCTGTATGTCTTAATCATATCATAATAATGAAGCCCTTGGTTTCTTTTATGATGATCAAAATGACAACATTTAGGTTAAGTATATTAAGTGTTTCATGAGTTATCCACCATGTATTTTTGAGTATACCTTTTTTTTGGAGCGGACCGGACGCAATACCAAAATGTTGTGTGCATTTATTTTAGTCAGTTTTATTAGAGAAGGAAGGAAGTAAGAAAATGAAGAAGCAAAGGAAACGGCAAGAAAAACAACTGTCTGTGTTTTCAGCCTCATTTGTTCAAAATGATTCATCACGAAACGACTCAAAGAAACACAGCAAAAGTTTCAGATGTGATGTTTATCTGTCCGTATGTGTGTCAACAACAGGCTGCATTTGGACAGAATTGATTTGTACAGTGAACATTTTGACCAATCAATGACGAGTCACATTGTGTTATAAGTGGCATGAGATTATCTCCAGCCGTCATTACATCACTCAAATTGTTACCTTTAGTGAGGCCTGCATCCACATGTGAAACACTTTGATAATAAGAAAACAAATAGGCAAGTTGTGCTCTAAATAAACAATATACTTTGTGTTTTTCACTAATAATTCAGAGCAAATTCATGCATCCAAACTTTGTTTTTGGAAGTGGGAAATCAATAACAGACGAGACACAGTGTTACATCACTGTTGGGTTAGTCGGGCTTTTATTAGCAGCGTCACATGGACCTTCACTGCTCTCTAGATCCTTTAAAGTGGACCTATCATGCTATATTTGAATAGTATAGTGTAGGACCATACCTATATAAGGCATATTTATACTTTTTATTTTTCAAAATACCAAACAGATCATGCATTTTAGCCATTCCTCATTTCGCTCAATTTAACACTGTCTTTGCATGGACTGATTCTGTGAGAACAGCACCATCTACAGGCCTGGCATATGGACTACAGCGTCTCCAGCGCTTTCCAACGGCAATGTTCGTGGCTGTCTCCTCCTGATTGGTGGAGTTGGCCCAATAGCCGTAGCGCCACTTCTGTGACGTCAGAGAAGTGTTCAAATCTGGATCAGTCTGTATCAGATCCGTTGCAGCCCCTTTTTAAGAGATCTGGGTATGGAGGAAAATAGAGAGGGTTGTGTTTTCTGACACTTGGTGAGTTCCCTGGAACACCGGGGACACATATTCATGTATAAAAGATGTACAAAAGTGCATTTTGCATGATAGGTCACCTTTAAGATACATTTCCAGTATGTGTAATCATTCAAATGGACTTTATCGTAACATTATTGCACCTTAGGTTAGAAATGGAAATAATAAAGAGTATCAGCCATTGTCTCGACCCTATCTACTCTCATAATACATTTTAGTTTCCTTTTAGCTGCATCTAATGTATGTTCTTATCAATGTTGTAAATCATCTGGAAACAAATTGTTAATGAAATAAATACATATTGCTGAGAAAGGCAGTGGCTCAGATAATAACAGTGGGTTTAAAGCAGAGGAATGTGAAACCTCCTTTGATGCATAAACTCCAGCTCAGTTTTCTCTGATGTTTCGGGCATAAAAAGTCCCCCGAGGCTTTTTCTGTGAAATCTGAACAGGGAAATATTACCGAAAGAGGATCAATATCAAAGGCCACATCATATGATTTAGACACAGACAACAAATACTTCAGAGTATCTACGCAGGCACATAGAGTTATAAAGTGGCATTTCCCTTCTCTTGTGTTCTATATCTTTCTCCAGGAGAGATAGGGGTGCTTTCCAAGTATGCAGCTCATTGTGTGTTTGGCTAAGGCAGCCATATTTGTTTTCCTCCTGTGAAACTGGAGGTCTTCATGGACATCGAGAGTGTAACATGGATCTGTAGACTCTCCTAGATGTTTGTTATCGTATATTATCTTTTCTCCCGGCCACCAAAATTTATTTTGTACCTGTGCTCTTTAGGAATGTGAAGAATGCTAACAGAAGTGTCTGAGATATCTTGGGTGGGTTTCATCTTCAGACACACATATCTCTCCATCATGGTCAATAGAAGGAGAACCCAGAGATTAGAGCCTGATCATGTGTTGTTAGCAAGTTCTCTTTATATACAGTATATGTGAAAGAACATACTAAATACAGTGTTTTATCAAATGCAATGTACATATCATTTTCTATCTTTGAAGCATCACTATATTTAAAAAAGTTTAATTCATAAGCAATGGAACTTAAGTTATTGCTCTATTCAGGACTCTTAATGGTTTTGCTGCTACAGCCTCTCTCAGTCTGTATGATAGCTAATACAGCAAACTAAATATTGCTATGCTAGGAAATATCTCTACTTTGAACCATTCTAAAATAAGTGTGACCTACAGAAGACTGAAAAAATGATAAATAATATCGCTTTAAAGATCATACCTATCTATCATTACCTAGACATGCTGTTAATTGATATTATATACAGCTCTCATAATGATGTTTGTTAAGATAAAAATGTGTTTTCTTTGCTGTTGCACTTTTTCCTTTTATTTCACTGTCACTCATTCGTGGTTTTGTATGATAACACTTGATGCTTTAAGAGCCCAGGGGTTGAACGTGACATCAATCACAATAAAAGAGTGATGTAATTGAGTGTAAAATTAAAACACTGGTTAAGGATGTAAAATAAGTGAAACGTCTGTTTGATTTATTAGTCTTTTAGGCATTGCCTGGTGAATCAGGGCCAATGCACCAGAGAGGAGAGGGTGGGGTTCAGGCCGAATGTTTAGGGACATCTGGCTGTAAATCCGCAAGCTTCTGCTCGATGGATGACATCACTGCACATGCTGCTTTTCTCCCTTCTTCACCCTTTCACAAACCTTAATACCACAAAAACATGTAGCAACCCACTGATGAGCGCATTGTTATTGTGCTTTTGTCTCAGCATACACCCATTCTCTAATGGCCATCTACGTCTGATATTAACGTGGCTGTCAGACCAGAGTCAGTTTATTATTCCACATACTTAGAAGGAAGTACTGACAAATACTGTCTAGGGTTACATATATTATCATTATACTGCTTAGTCATATGCTATGTACAGTATATACATATATATATATATATATATATATATATGACATAGGTTTACCCTGTCATATTATTATATTTGGAGCAGTGCACGAGAATAAAAGGTACAATGACAGAAATGAAGGTTTTGAGACTTTCTTTTGATGGCACTTTTGTTCAATCTGCACTAATAAATATGTCCATATCAAAAATGGGTTAAATTACTATATGTACCACAGAAGAAATATGGCATTAATATGTTCAAAGCTTCAAAGCTAAATGGTAAACAAAAAATGAAAACTGCACTATTTTATTTATCAGGTTTTTTTAGTTTCATCTTTCGTGAATAAACAAAACCCTTTCAAACCTTCATCTACACATAAACGGCAGCTTCTCCCAGCAGCCTCTCTGCGCGGACTCAGCAGTTCTGGGAAACCAGTGCCTGCTCCCAACTGGGACACAATTGAATATACCAAAAGAGCCAGCAGTAATGCACTAGGACACCACAACACCACAAGCCACAGCTCCTTGCCCATCAGTATTGATCCAAACATTGCTTCCCATCAAGTGACCATCACAGTTGAAGTTTTTCTCATCTCCTGTTTCCATTAGCGTCATGATAGCCATGATGTCTGCGAGACTCTCTGTGGATCTATGTTGGTTTATGAGAGAGTGTTTTCCTGTTTTACTGCCACTATAGAGACTGGTTCATCAAGTAAAAACTCTAAAAATGGGGCTTTAACATCATCAAAAAGACATCTCCAATCACCACATTCACTCTTCTGCTGAATCCTAAAAAATAATTGACATTGCGAGAGATTTTTCATGAAAAAGTTAATCAAAAAAATGAAAGAGACATGTCTAGGCATGCGTTATACAGGGGGCTCTCTACCTGTCAGGTATGCTGGCAGCAGGCTCAGACAGGGGCCCATCAGGGACTCAATCTGTCATAGTGACCTCAGTTCTTCCTGTATCATCACCTGGATCTGCCTGTCACTCATGCCTGCATCGGCCATTATCGCAGTGGAACAGTCAGGATCTGCGTTAACTTGCCTATCCGCCCGTCAGGGGTGTTAAACAAACCTTTGAATTCATAATACTGACAACTAGGGCTTTGTACAGTTATTTTCATTATAGATTATTATTTTTCTATTAATGATTTGGTCGATAAAATGTCAGACAAATAGTAAAACTGATCCATCCCAGACCACGGTATTGTCCTGTTTTGTAAATCCGCAACTCATAGTCAGGTTATTAAGATATAAACATAAAAAAACGGAGAAATCTTTAAATACACGAGGAGTTTCAAACTGAATCTCTGATATTTTTGCCTAAAAAAAATGAACTTGGACAATTTAATTTACTCTCTATCCATCCACAACTGAAATAGTTGACTAACTGTTGCCTCTCCACTGAAACCACCATCAAAAAAAGGATACACACAATGTATACCCCACAAATACGTGTGTTATTGCTGTACAAGCTGCTGGTATATTACATACCAGATGGTGAAAGTTCACTTTTTGGACGTGTGTGTTTCAGGTGATCCATCTCCAGAAGGCCGAGCTGAACGGGGAGACGGTGTACCCGATGCACCCGAGCAGCGTCCATGGAGTGGAGGACATGTCCACACTGGCAGAGCTGCATGAAGCTGCCATCATGCACAACCTCTTACTGCGCTACAAGAGAGACAACATCTATGTAAGGCCCCTCTCTCGTTATCTGTGAGAACATTTAGCATGGACCACCATGGTGTACCTGCAATATGTGGGTCTACTGTCTCAGTCAGGGTTGCAGTTACAATATAGCTGGGAGCTGGAATGTTCAACACAAACTAAACTCAGAGTGCAACAAATCTCAATCCATCAAAAACATCTACCGGAAATGGGAGTTTTTTTTAATGCAAGGCAACAATAGGATTTGTTGTGTTTGAAGTATGAAGCATTACATACACGTCCTGTCAGATTCTTGCTATTGCATTCCAAGTATAAGCTCTATAAAGTTGACACTGTTGTTGTGCCATGTCAGAGGAAAATTAGAAGAAAAACACTAACACAAGCAAGGCCGAGTAAGGAATAAAATGCTAAACAACACACACTACAGAATGCATCTACTGTAATACACTGAAGAGTTTCAACGCTGGATTTCATTTAAGAATGCAAGACTTTGAATGTGTTTGTTTGACTCTGTCTCAATCCAAGGATTATTTTCACCGCCCTCTTGAAACACAACCCGGGCTTTATTAAAATAATCTTTCCCCTCAGTCTCTGTAACTATGTTTTCCGAAAACCTATCTCTTAATCTTATCTTGGAGGGTTGCAGCGGTCTGTCTGCATGGGATCACAGAACAATGTCATTGAGGAAAGATGACCCACAAACACACTTCAGTGAGTCACCTTTCCCCAAAGCGCATAACCACGGAGGAATAGAGCTTAAAATACTACCAGCTTTAGTGTTAACTAGGCCATATGCAGCAGTTTAAGAGTATTACTAGCTACAGTTACTGTGTCACAGAAAACTGGGTGAATCTACTAAACTGGTAGTGTTAAGTAACTGTACTGTAGATCTAATGCAGTCATTAGAATTTGTACAATGTGTAAAAGTCGCAACTTAGTAAAAAATACAATTCAGTTCTTCTTTTATATATCATGTCCTATTTCACTGATCATGTTTTCTTCTTCTCTTTTTTTCCCCCTCCTCTCTCATCTCCTCTTTCCTCCTTACGTACTTCTGTCTGCTTTTATGTGTCCCTCAGACCAACATAGGTTCAATCCTGGCAGCAGTAAATCCCTATAAGCAGATATCGGGCCTGTATGACAGCACTGCAGTCGATCAGTACAGCAAACACCAGATGGGGGAGCTGCCGCCTCACATCTTCGCTGTGGCCAATGAGTGTTACCGCTGCCTGTGGAAGAGACACGACAGCCAGTGTGTTCTCATTAGGTGAGAATCCACATTAGAAAAGACTCCCTATACAGAATGTTAGGAAGCAGCTCTCTGCCTCTCAAATCTCCTTATTTACAATCTCCTAATTGACAATAAAAATTGAGCGTAAGAGGTTTGATGGGTCTATTTACAGTATCTGCTTCTCTCTTTCTCTTTGTATCATCAGTGGGGAGAGTGGTGCCGGGAAGACGGAGAGCACCAAGCTGCTGCTGAAGTTTCTCTCAGTGATGAGTCAAAACTCAGCAGGCACTCCTCTGTCGGAGTGGACCACCAGGGTGGAGCAGGCTCTCGTCCAGAGCAGGTACTGTTTCAACAGTTTCAATTTTGTAAACATTGCAAGATTGGCCCTTGGTGGAGGTCTCCAAGGGCCCTTCTAGTTTACATGTGCATTTTTGTTTATATAATTATTTCATTCTTAAGCTTTATACAATCTAGTCTTTCCTGCATTAGGAGGTCTTCAAGGCAAACTAAACTTGGATGTCGTCCATGTTGAAATGCATTTCCTGGCAATGATTATAATTAAGTATAACAATGTTCGTTCGTGAAAAGGAATCTAACTTCGATACAACAAAATTGTTAATACCTAGGCCGTCTCCGATACCAAACTCGGGTGCTGATAAGGCTCCGGTGAACGGCCGTCCAATCTTTTTAGGACTTCAAAACCCCCCAGAATCTACACGCAAGATCAACATAATCTGCTTAGGGGGGAGTTTACAACGTGGCCTCTAACACCACGCTGCCCGTCGTATCCCTATTTTAGGCACTCTGGCCCCGGATGTCCGACCACTTTAGGATAGCAAAACGGTGTGCATGGTGTAGTAGGTGTTGGTGGGCTGGTAGAACCCCAGAGCAGTATCAAAACTGCCCCTGGAGGAGAATCCCTCTGTTAATGGGAGACTCCCTGGTAATTAGGGCAGCTTCAGAACCCACAGTCCCTAACCCCACCCTCTCTTGATCCCCAAATATATCAATCAAAACAATGCAAATGTAATATCAAACACAGCCAGAGTCAAACATCAATGTCACAGCAGTGACATTACAACATCAGCAGCGCATATGTCAACCACCTCAACCACAGTAACCAATGTGAAACTATAGTTTAACCTTAGCAGAGTTTCTATTCCCCCTTAAACAATTTAAATCCAAATCATCAACTAATGTCAGCCTTTTCCAAGGAAGGGCGTTCTTACCTCACTCTAAGACCAAGCCGATACCTTCAGATACCACAAACATTGTTAACAACATTAACAACATTAACAACATTGTCAACAATTTTGTTGTATCGAAGTTAGATTCCTTTTCAATGGATATACTAAATTCCATTCAAATTTCAGAAATATTTGAGATGCTTAAGCAGTATAGAGGTCAACATATGTGACAAACTAGGCAATACTGTGAGAATGCATGCTTTCCCTTAGACTGAACAACACCGGCATCTGTTTCAACATCTTAATCAACACATAAGGTGATGGACATTAATGGGGTGTGTCAAAAGTATTTTTATTTGCTTGAATGTTTTCCCCTCTCTGCAGTCCCATCATGGAAGCCTTTGGAAATGCTAAGACAGTGTACAATAATAACTCCAGTCGGTTTGGGAAGTTCATCCAGCTTCACTTTTCCCAAAACGGAAACATTCAGGGAGGCTGCATCATTGACTGTATCCTTCAACGGTTCACTTAGATATACTTGTGAACTCATGTGTCTATACTAGTGTCTGTTTCAGAGGTTATATTGACTGTCAGTGTTCATTGTTCTCCTTGACCTTCAATGATCAGATTTGCTGGAAAAGGTAAATTTGTGTTGAAAAATTCAGTTGCAGCGACTGGGATCAGCAAGTGGATTTTTTTTTTTATTCAATCAATCAGTCATCAGCAAAATCTCTCATGAAATATTTTTTTAACTAACTCTTTAAAATCGTTTCTCTCTAAGAACCGTGTGGTTCGACAGAATCCTGGAGAGAGAAACTACCACATCTTCTACGCTCTGTTAGCAGGGGCGGACACAGACCACAGAGGTACGTTTTCAAAGACTCTCAACCAAAATAGTTACCAAAATCATAGGTTTTCCTGGAAACTAACACGTGAACATACACTCAGCTTCTTATTTGTAATAGTGAGTAACTAATGTCTAAAGGTCATTCATTATAATAAGTCTACTTCTGTCAGATCTACAGGAACTGCCAACATTGTTTTATCATGATCAACACTCAGGTATACATCTGAAGTTTTGTGGATCATTAATCAGATTCATAGAAAATATAAGGAAAAACAAATCCACAATTTGACCAAATGAGCCAATGGTAAAACTACTTTTTGTTGATTGAATTTATTTATTTTTTTAACAAGAAAGAGTTAAGGTTGTAAAAAAAATATAGCTTAAGATCACTATGCACTGAATATAAATGTTTTTGTTGTAGTAGATTATCTCTAGTTGTAAAAGCTATCGCTGAATAGATAATGACAAAAATTAGTTTTTTATATTGTGAGGTTAAAGATTGTATTCAACTTTGAGTTTCCTCTTGTCTCTGTTTTGCAGACATGTACCTCCTGTCCGAGGGTCCTGAGTCATACCACTACCTGTGTCAGTCAGGCTGCATGAAGGACAGCAGTCTGGATGACAAGCAGCTCTTCAACAGTGTGATGGTAAGGAGAACATGAGAGGAACATGCATTTCATGTAAGTGATTTGTTTTACCCCCAGAGGGCGCTATACACCTTTCTCTTGAGTGTAACACCACCAAACCAGACAGACTTCAAGAGAGCCTGGGGGAAACATGCTAATTCATTGTGTCATGATGGCTGTATTGGCAAAAGTGTTCTCTAATGAATAAAAAAACTGCTCTCACGTTCTTAATGACTCTAGTGTGTTTCTACGGAAATGTTGCCTAACTTTATCTGTGTTGTGTCGCAGGAAGCCCTGAAAGTGATGGAGTTCACGGAGGAGGAGATCAGAGACGTGTTTAAGTTGCTGTCTGCAGTGCTCCAGATGGGCAACATCGAGTTCATGACGGCTGGTGGAGCTCAGATCACCTCCAAAGGGGGTAAGAGAAGGAATTAAGAGTACACTACAGATCTACTATGCAGAGTGTGTTAAATATATCCTCACACAATTGGTTTTGCCCAATTTCTCTCTGTACCACTCGAAGGAGGAACTGGGAATGCTTTATTGCTGTCATTTCTTAATACTTGGAAGTTGTCTTGACATATGTCAACAGCCAAGCATTCAATTCAGCACATATTTCCTGTAGTAAATTACTTGGATTCACATAGAGCAGCTCTTTCTATCAAATTCGTATTTGCAGTGAGTAGTAGGATGAATGGCAGTTATTTGTAGGACACTTCCAAGGAAATTAAAGTTCTTCTAAAATAAGCCATTCCCCGAAAAAATAAAATGTATTTTAATCATGAGAGCTCATTGTGCTTACCAAACAAGTTCTTCCTTGGCACCAAGACAAAGAAACCTTTTTGATCTCATGAGCTACTCGTAAATGTGAGGAAAATGTTGATTAGAAAATGTTGCAAACAACAGCCTTAAGTGCTGGATACAAAATGTAGAAACATATTTCATCTTTAATTCTCTTACAGTTAAGCAATGTCTTTTTTTCAGAAATCTATTGCAACATATATATTTTTTTTTTTGAAGCAGTTAAATTGCTCTGTGCTGATGTTGCACCCCTCCGCTGTACTCCTCATGCCCCTGAGTTTGATTGACAGTGCACTCGCAGACAGAGCTCTGAACAGGCTGTAACATGAGCTCAATGCTCCTTTGTTCACTCTGTCTGACCTCTTTTCCATAAAACCATGGAACCACAGTGACTGCAGAGTAGAGTTTCCTATAGACTGTATAGGATCACAGCATATGTCACGTATACGTACACTACACCTAATACACATGTTTGTATGTGTGTTTCAGTTGTCAGTAATGTCAGCGAGCTGCTCGGCCTGGACTGCTTCCAGCTGTCCGAGGTGTTGACCCAGCGATCCATGATCCTCAGAGGGGAAGAGATCTGCTCCCCTCTCACCGTGGAGCAGGTAACCACACACACTTTAAATACTCATTACAGCTAACACACTCCGTTATATCCCAGGGATTGTTCAGAAGGCGACACTGAAACCTACAGTAGAAGCCTGTCTGTTGCCCTCTAGTCCTCTCCCCCTCTCCCTCCCTTGTCCTGGTGACACACACACACACACACACACACACACACACACACACACACACACACACACACACACACACACACACCCTTCTCCCCCACATGCCCCTCCAGATCCCTTGCGTGACTCCCAGCCATTTCCTGCTTTTTGTCTGCCAGATTCCTTGCACAATAACGCCATCGTGATAGTGATCTGAGTCAAAGGCACAATAGGGCCAATGACTGAGGGTGAAGTGATCCTTCTCCTCTGGAGGCAGCACAGCCAGGCACCAAGACGCTATAATTATTTCTCCGATTCGAATGTCCACGCTGCTGCCTGTGAATATTTTACGAGTCTGCATCTGCATGTGTTATCCTTTTCACCATATGCCACAAGAACATTCTGACGCATGACACAATCCTTTTTGGCTGAGCTCAAGCCTTGGGCCCACTCATACGCATAAATATCAGCAAATATGCAGAATGGACCTCTACTATTATCTCTAAAGTCACAAGAAGGCTTTTCTTTGCCGGACAAAGACTCTGTGCTGTCGCCCTGCTGCAGCTTGTTCGGCCTGGCCTTTGAAGCAGCTCGTCTCTTAATAGACTTCATTATTCCCGTCCTGCAGCCGGTAAGAATGGCTTCTTCTCACAGCGGCCAGGGGTCACCCACCCCATGACTGCCTGCACTAGCCCCTCACCCCCCATCCTGGACAAACAGCCATTCTTCTCAACCCGGTGGCGGAGATCCTGGAGCCACCAGCACTCTGTTCACACCCGTTAGTTGTGAGAGGTGACGGGGCATATGATGGATTACTCAAAAGCCCAAGAGCATTGTTGTCCCAAATACAGTACACACCGCCACACTCTTGTTTTGTTTTCGATTCAAGCACAATGCCTGTAGGGGAAGTGAAGCTGGCAAGCACAAGCTCTTTATATTTGCACACGGATGGTGTCTGGCTGTAAGGCCGGAGAAAATCAGAGCTGAGTGAAAGATTTTCTCATTTGGTTTGACTTTTTTAGAGTGCTAACTATGAGCAGTTTGACACCAATTACAACATCCAGTCTACAATTATGATAGTTTTAAAGAATTATAACTCCACAAATCCACACATTTTTATTTTCATTATTGACATGTCCGCAGATTTTTTTCTAGATTAGTCAATTAATTGTTTGGTCTAAAAAAATTCAGGAAGTATTGGACAATGTCCAAGGTTATTATAAGACATTTTAATGCCTTTTATCATCAGTCAAAAACTCAGAGATATTAAGTTTAATGCAGCCGTAGTCCGATTACTCTCTTTTTTCCGTCATTCATTTTCTGAATGTGAGAAGAAAGGCAAAACAGTGAAGGTGTCATCTCATGGTTAGGCTTTAATAAAAAGATAATAAAACTTAAGGCAGTCATTAACCAAAACGTGTTTATACATTTGTCTTCGTTTTAACTGGCTTTTGAAATGCAACAACAAATACTGCCTTTCAGGAGATGTAGGTGATAAACGGCGCCACGTATTGTGACAACAGACACTGTGTTACCTGCCGCCTGCACACAGATGCTGACATAACACTTTTTTTTCCAACTGCCATACCTCATCACAATAACACACCGTTTCATTATGCTTTAACCACCATCTGATCAAATAGATGAGATGTATATGGAGATTTACTGTATGTTGTGTTTTCTTTATTTGTTTCTACCTTGGTATCCATGGTAACCTTCATCTCTTTTTGTCCTGATTTGCAGGCGGTGGACTCGCGAGACTCGGTTGCCATGGCGCTTTATTCTCAGTGTTTCTCCTGGATCATAATGAGGATCAACCAGAAGATCAAAGGCAAAGACAACTTCAAATCCATCGGCATCCTGGACATCTTCGGCTTTGAGAACTTTGAGGTGAAGTTCACAGGTCGATTTAAGCTTTACTCAGTTGGCTTTTCACTATGAGTATTTTAGTTTTCCATAAACACAATAAGTCCTGTCAATGAGTCAGTGAATGTATCAAATGTGTCATATTTAAGACTCAGTAGTGTTAAATATGACACATTTGATACATTTCTTCAGCTCTTCAGGCTGGTTTGAAGTGGGTGGGACCATTTGTTGAAAAGGTGTTGTCACAAGCGTCTTTTCACCCCACTTTCAACAAGTCAAATATTTTGATAACATTTGAAGCTGCACAGGCAACGAATGCTTTGACAGTGGGCCACCTTTTTAAACTTTCATAGCCAGATTGAGCAATGTTTTGAATCAGAATCTGAACACAGTTATTTGGCTGTTTATTTACTCTCAATCAAACCACACTGCAGAGTCCAGATACCTTTTTTGGGCCCGAGACATCAAAAAAATATTAACTAATACATAAACAGTGATTAGTTGTTATTTAGAAATGACAACGTTTTCAGAGTTATAAAATCATAATTGAAAATATCTTAGTAAAGCCATATTTCTTTACTGTAAGTACTCGAGGCCCAATACGGACAAACACTGAGACTTCACTTGTCAGTTAAATAGGAAATATCTTATCTAGATGTTAAACTTGAGAGGGAAGTAACATTTGAATGTTTAATGTTTCTGAATTTTAAGGGAGGAAGACAAAAGAGAGTTGATTTTAGTCACAGGCTTCTCCAACAGTGCAACACAATATTACAGAAAAACAGAAGAATATAGTGCAAGTAAATAATAAATATTAAAAGTAATTGCAAAAAGAAAGGAATAGTTTAAAAAAAAAAGTGAAATAGTGAAATAAGAGTCTCACTATTTCACTTTTTTTTTTAAACTATTCCTTTCTTTTTGCATTACTCATTATCAATCAAAGATCAGATATTATATTCGTCTTGTCTGACACGTCTGAAGGTGATCTTTAAGCTACAGAACTGATGTATGATCTTCCATCCTTTAGGTGAACCGGTTTGAACAGTTTAACATCAACTATGCCAACGAGAAACTCCAGGAGTATTTCAACAAGCACATCTTCTCTCTGGAGCAGCTGGAGTACAACAGGTAAAGATGTTTATCATATCTAAACAAATAAGAGACATACACTTCTTCAAATGAGGCTTGTATGCTGGTTTTGGTATGCTGACTTTTCATGTGCTGGAGACTGTCCCACAGACAGATGGGGGTGGGGGGGGGGCTGGACCTCCTCGGGGCGATGCAGGCAAACTGCCAGAGGTTTGGGCTTGGCTCAGTTTCTCCCCCAGACAGTTGTGTTCTTGTATAATGGACCGGCAGCTTGGACATGGCCCATTTCATCACATGCTCATGCTGGACAATACAGCCATTGTGTCGTCCTAGTTGTTAATATTTATATATATACATGGTGTGTGTGTCTTTGTCCTTGCAGAGAGGGGATCCAGTGGGAGGCCATAGACTGGATGGATAACGCAGAGTGTCTGGATCTCATAGAAAAGGTATCCCTGAGACAGCAAAGTCACCACTGTGATCGACCGCTAACCACCAGCCGGAGCGGGCTGACGCCTCACTGTGCTTACACTGCCCTCCCTCTCACACTCTATCATTATATAGTCTCATTTTGCATGTTGTATGCACAGTAATGTACACCAGTCAGCAGCTCGAGGTAGCATTAAAGGGAGCCATTAAGACAATTAGTTTTATTTTATCTCCATAGTTAGAAAGGATTTCGGGTCAAAATCATACATTTAGGGGAGGTGAAAGACTACACTAACATTTTACCCTTACTTATAATCTCACTTTGGCTGGATTGGCCTTTATAAGAGGATTCCAGCTGTATCATTACAACTGTGTGTAGAAATGTGTTAGGTGCGAAACATCATGCCTGCTCAGTGAACCCTCTTTTGTAAATAAAAGAGAAAATGTAATGAATTATTACGCTTTTCCTGGACGCATTGTTACAACAAAAGCTGCCAGATGTGCCCCAATGGGATTATAACTAGTTCCATCATGACTTTGCTGAGTTTCACCCTCCTCTTGTCTGTCTCCCCTTTAGAAACTGGGCATGTTGGCTCTTATCAATGAGGAGAGTCGCTTCCCCAAAGGCACGGACTACACCCTCCTGGAGAAACTGCACAGCCGGCACGCAGTGAGTCCTCATGTACACATGGAAACTTACATGCATCTTTCTCATGTCCCAGGAAAACAATAAAATGATCCACCCCCCCTCAACCAAAGAGTTAAACCTCTCTGCTGCGTTGAACGTCTGACCCCGCCCCAGGCGCTCTCACACGCAAGAACAACCACACTGAAATGTGATCAGCCATTCTCATGTAATGATTAGCATCGTGTTCAGGAGAAAAGAGTGTCCTCACTATACCCAGCAGGGTTTTCTATGGCTTACCCACAAAGTGAGACAAACACAGGCTGACCTCTCCCCTGAAACACATGTTGAGTTTTAAGGTCGTGGCCGAAGGAGCTGAAGAGGAATAGCTGTTGAACTTCATGTAGAGGTTATGTTTAGTGCCGACATCTTTCGTAGACTGCTTGTTTTGTTGATTAAAAGAACATTCATTACAAGAACAGTTTTTCTTTTCACTGTGTTATATACATTTAAACTGTTTAATTAATGTACTTTAAATATATATATATATATATGTTAAAGTGATAGACACAAACAAAATACTACTAATGTAAAAACAAAGCAACCTTACCACAAAAAGTTAAAAGGAATAAAGTGCAACCCTAACTTCTCTTATCTCAAGGTAGAACAGTAAAGGTGCCAAGCAGACAGTTGGGATTATTAAAATATTTGTACTTTTATGGCACAAATCAGAGATTCAGAAACATGATGAGATTGTTGTCATTGTGTTGTTTAATCATTGGGTATGGGAGTTTTGGTCATACACAAATAGTAAAGTAGGCCTACTGGGTTTCTGAAAAATGTCCTGTTGACATGGTCTAGACTAAGATTTTAAGATTATAGAAACTAAAATAGCCTACAGGTTATTTGATAATGACAATATTAATCGGTTGCAGCCTTTAATACGTTGTTGACCTTTCAGCTGCAGCTGGCCCCTGAGCTCTCTGGTTATACTATCTCCTTAATCTGATTAATAGTCAAACTGATTATCACTAATCAAATAGACTTGGAACAGCATTTCGAAAAGTCAGTGCTGTTTTTGTGCTTTCCCTCAGACAAACCCGTACTATGTTAAACCCCGAGTGACCGACCACCAGTTTGGCATCAAGCACTACGCTGGAGAGGTAATTACCCACACACACACACACACACACACACACACACACACACACACACACACACACACACACACACACACACACACACACACACACACACACACACACACACAGAGCAAACCCAGCTTTCTGAATGAGCATCTTTGGGAAGTAGTGTAGATGTTGAGCAGCGGTGTCGTGTTTGCCAAAACCAGCTACAGGATGTTGATGTTCCCCCCCTACTCTGTCTTTTTCTCTGAGTCAGGAGAAACTGCTTCCCCGTCATCCTCTCATTCCTTTGGCTACATGATGAACTGGGGTTACTACTGACGGAAGTGTAGAGAATGGCCAAAGAGATCAGGGCAGAGAGAGAGGGATTGCAGAGGGCAGGAGGGGGGGGAGGGAAGTAGAAAGATAAAGAAAGGCCTTATGAAGGCTGCCTCAGACAAGGTCTCCTCAGTGAGTGTGAGCTCAGTCACAAGCCTGGCATGGATGTCTGTGGTAATGAGAGGAAAGACCAGCCGACCAGTTGTCTCTCTCTCTCTCTCTCTCTCTCTCTTTCTCTCTCTCTCTCTTTCTCTCTCTCCTTGGACTTTAGTTGCCTTTCTAAAAGCTCCTTCTGCTATCTGAAACGGTGCCGTGTGCTCACTGGAAAATAGTAGCATCCTCCCTTAGATTTGATTATCCCTGTGGTGCCACGGAAATGCAGTCGATTTTTTAATTAAGTTTTGTTCTCGGACATGATCTTTAGCAACAGGAACAACAAAAATACCTCAACATACCTTGACAATTCAGTGGTTGAGTATAAACGTTGATGTGTTTCAAAGACAACAATGTTGAGTGCAGAACTTTGTAAATACAGCGTTGCAGATGTGGAATCAGATGTTGTATGATTGGTGCATCTTTAAGACTTTGCATTCAAGCTTCCTTGTTTCTCCGTACTATCATGGGACTATCCCAGTTAACTGAACCTAAAACTGGCAGACCCAGAGATCCTATTGTACGAGTCTATTCCAATAATAAGAGGAATGGAGTGTAATTAGTGTGTCGGGATTTAGAAAAACATGTGTCGTCAAGTTTGGATCTCATGGCTCCCAATGAGGGATGGGGTTTGCCATTAGATTATAGTATACACACGATACACATTAACACAAACACAAATACGTGCCTGATTAGATTACACATTTTTTGTATTTTAATATTAACATGCATTTCTTTTAATTCAAATGAGCATACACAAAACATAATACGAATCGCCTGCACATCTGAGAGCAATTTGCTTTACATTGCCACTTTATTTGCTGCAGTACACATCCATCAAAACACAGTTCACTAATATATTTTATTAAATCTTATTTGGAACAATATTGTTGTATCTGATTAACTTAGATTACATATTTGGGTAAAGCTGCAAATGACTCTTCTGCTGACAGAGGATATATTATTAGTGTTTTTGTACCTCTAAATAGATCTTTGCCTTTTAGTTCTTGCACTGCTGTTACATACTTAAAAGCATTTTTACCTCATCTTTATACAAACAGTGCTATAACTCACTTTGTATGTTCTGTCCTCTGTATTAGGTACTTTATGATGTGCGTGGGATCCTTCAGAAGAACAGAGACACCTTCAGAGATGACATCTTGTTTATTCTTAAAGACAGCAGGTGAGCATATTGCTCTCTCTCCTGCATGCTGATCATACAGCTGTATAATTCAGCTTCAATGGACGGTTCTGCAGTCACGTTACCTGTTCTGCATCATATGTCTGCAGGCTTGACTTCATCTACGACCTTTTCGAGCGTGTCGGCAGCAGAAATGGAGATGAGACCATGAAGATGGGCACGGCCCGACGCAAGCCCACTGTCAGCTCTCAATTCAGGGTGAGGCCAAAGCTTTTATGATCTATCTCCTAGCAAACGATTGTATCATTGTGTCTTCACGCAGACAACAGGGCTAATCATGGGTCTTTATAAGGAGCTTTCAGGCTGTTATCTTAGCATGATGAGTGTGAACGAACAGACGCAAAGAAGGATATAAATCATGTAGAGACAGAGGGGGGAGGACCATGCTGCTAGTGTGTTTGATCTGCAGAGAATGATGGCTGATGGGATGTATGAATTGTGGTTGTTGCGGCGGGTGGGGGGGTACAGAGGAGGGCTAAGGAGCAGGGGAGGATTTGGCAGGCTGCCCCGGCCTACAGTTTCTAAAGCCAGGGGATTATGGTTGATGGCTGGGCAGAGAGGGGGCCAACCAGGAGCCAATCACACTCAGCTCTGCCAGGCTGGGGTCCCACTGGAGACAGACTGTCTGAGGCAGCGAGGAGAGCGAGGCTGACAGGGGTTCAAGGGTCCTTGGAGTGTGTGTTGGTGCGTGCGTGGGTGGGTGTGTGTGTGTAATAGTAAACATGGGTTAATACTCCATTAGAGACGGAAAGTATCAAATGTCATTCAATCCATAAACTTTGATGCATTTTTTCAAGAATAGTTCTACACACTTTTCCTTTATGTTAACAATTATGTTCATTTCAGGGTTTACATGTATTCAAGTAGTTACTGTACTATCATTTTATGGTTTTATGGTTTTATGCTTTATTTCAATTTGATTATTTTTATTACTACCTTTTAGATTCACATTTATAAAAAATGAAAACATTGTTTAACCAAGTTATGTGTGTCTGTTATTGAATTCTTAAAGAATTGTTTTGTTAAACACGTGAAAACATATGGCATTGCAACTAAATGTTAACTACACTCTAAAAACAAATGCCTTGACTCAACAAAGAAAATCAACGCAACAGTTTGCATCGATGTTTATTGAGTTAAGACCACTTCTAATGAAATTGTCTTAAAGCAACAAAGTTATTTGAGTTAGGGGAGAAGGCTTTTCCTCTACAATCAGAGGTGTTTGTAATTACCACTTACTTAATAATTGGTCGCATAAACACAAGTTTTGAAGTTGATTACTCAAAAGATTAAGTTGTTCCGACTAGTTTTACCACATGATTTAAAAGGAATTTCAAGTTGTATGTACTTAATTACCCTCATTCGGGATACAAGTTTTTAAGTTGATTACTCCAAAAATTAAGTTGTTCCAACTTGTCTTACCGTATGATTTAAGAGGAAGTTTAAGTTGTATGTACTTAATTACCATCATTGGGAACACACGTTTTTAAGTTGACAACCATTTATAAATTAAGTTGCTCTAAATATATTGTATTCAATAGTTTTTTTTCTTAGCTTTTTCATGTTTTTGCCTTTTAAAGAAAGAAATTAATTGATTCCACAACAAAAATATTAGGCAATTCACTTTTTATTTTGAACTGCAGTTGTTTATTTCAACACATGATGTTTCAATCAGGAGAGAATTCATTTTTTTTGAACATTTATTGACACATGCCATACTGTATGATAAGGTGCATGAACACCTGAGAGGCTGCTGGAGAATGAGGTGAAATGCAATAGGTTAAAGAGTACGCCTGTGATGAGCTGATTATATGCAGCTGCTGAGTGAATGTATATACACCCAGCCTTC